CCTGCTGAAAAGCTACTTGATGCAAAAGGTTACATGAAATCTCCAGGCATGTGTTCTCCATCACTGTTTAGAGCATCATCCATCGCTATGGAAGATGAGATGCCATTCATGTCTCTTTCTTCCGCTAAATCCACTGGCCTTTCTTCTTGGTTCAGTCCCGGTTCATCAAGCTCAATCCCTCCAGGAACTCTACCTTCCCCGTTAAATTCTTTCTCCCAATCAAGCCATCCATCATCCATGCCATTGCTCCAGGCCAAAAAGAGGTTGCTCTATTCTTAATTGGTTCATTTCCCGCTTCTCCATGCGAAGAAGGTCACTCGTCACTGACTTCTTGTCCCATGCTCTGAACTTCCTTTTGCAGCCTCCAGTATCTCTTGCCTCGTCAATCCTTTAACCTGGCATGGTCTTGAGCTTTTTACTTGGACCATGAAGAGCTACATAGGCTGCTTCTTGATCATCTGTGGGCACTTTCTTACAAATTTTCACGCCACGATAGTGTTGAACTCCAGAGAAATGATCCTCGAAATTGAAGTGGTACGTAGCTGCATATTCTAACTCACGAAACTTGCACTTCCTACTATTCTCCGTCCTCTCAACATAATCCCAAAATTGATCATTCTGTCTAGCCATTTTTTCTTTTGGCCCAACAGACAAAACGTTGATTTATATGAATTATGTTGCTGGGGAATCTGAGGCTAGCTCCAATGGAAGGGAAAGAAATACGTTCCCTTATCTTTCTCAAAGGTTCAAATACATCAGGGTGGAAACTGCCATTAGCATTCCTCTTAATGCCAAACTGATTTACTAGTCTCCGATATCTAACATACTAAACAGCATCAATGACGCTGAGAATTTCTATACGCTGCATTACCTGAACAGCGCATAAAACAAGAAACAAGAACTTGAACAAAGGTTAGAAAATTAATTTAGTGAAACTAGCAATTTATGGAGTGAAATTAATAGTATGTACGAAGAAAGAATGTGCATGTACTAGAAGTTCCTTTAAATCTTGTGCTAGAAGATTTTCACTACTATCAAACGGCCATGCCGCAACTTTGAAAGGGTTATTTCTTTTCAGGAAACGGTAAAAGTAAGGGCTGTTGCTAAACAATAGGATAAGTTTTATCTCTCCCGCTTGTGTTTTATGCCTGCCAGAAAGTGTTTTTTATATTATCCACCAAGTTCATATTTGATTTTTTATATAAATTTTTTTATTGCTGAGTTTTATGTTTTTAACTAAACTTTCAAATCAAATTATTAGATTCAAATAAAACCTTATTTAAAAATTTTAGAAGTATTTTTTTTATATTAAAATAAAATTCGAAAAGATCTTGTGATAGAAATTGAAACAAACTATATAAATTTTATTATTTGATAAAGATTGGAACAAGTTATATAAATTTTATTATTTTAAAAATATTTTTTTATATTAGAATAAAATTTGAGAAGATCTTGTGATAGAGATTAAAATAAGCTATATAAATTTTATTTTATTTTAACTTGTAGATTTTTTATTCAATAAAAATCCTTTTTTTACAAGAATACAACTACTTGTTGTGCGACATTTCTAGTTCTGCAAGATTTTTAATAAACTGTAACATTAATTTTAAGTATAGCAAGAATTTATTAATATTTTTTATTTATCTTAGCTATATAATAAAAAAAAAACTAGTATTATTTAATGATAAATTGATTTTGTATGATCATTAGACAATATTATAAGTTATAAATAAATTTTATATTTTTTTACCTTTTCACAACAACATAAAAAAATTAACTTATAAGTTTTTCTCTTCTTCTTCGAAAACTTATTCTTCTTCTTTGAAAACTATCAAAAGGATAAAAGGATCTAGAAATGGTACCATGTTTTTTGTTTTCGTATGTAAGCAAATCCCTCGTGTTTTTTTTTTTTCATTTTTTAAATCACTCAAATAATATTCAAGTTAACTATTCTCAAGTCTTTTTCTCGCTTTTGTTTTTTAAGAAATACTATAATTTACTTATTTGTGTAACTTATTTTTTAAAATATATTTTTGATATTAACACATTAAAACAATTCAAAAACATTAAATTGTAATTTAAAACAAAAAAATAATTTAAATTCAGATAAAACACAGGTTGAACGTTAAACAACCCTTAAAATACTTAAAAAGAATTATAAATTTTTTAAATACTATTAAAAAGCTGTGAAAAATGTAAGGATGCTTTTTTTATACTTACGACCTTTTTTTATGTGCCCTTTCAATGCCAGATTTTGATGCGTTTCAGCACACCGAAATTGCAATATGCCATTTTAGATATGAAAGATTATCCTTTTGACTTATCAATCAATTATTTATTGTACCCTCAAAGTGGCCCTGCCTTAATCCAAAATAAAAGCCCATTGTTTATTGGGCCGTCAAGGTGGTCTCCCTAATTTAAGATTGAGATTCATTATCCATAATTTCTTAGTTTGTCTACATTAAATAATTTTACATTATCACAGATTTGAGTTTTCTCCTTTCTGATGAAATTAAAACTTCAAAATAAAAATAACATAAACCTAATTAAAAGATATATAAGAATGTGGTAGTGCTTTACTTAGAAATATAATAAAATAATTATTTTAATTTTTTTAAAAAAAATTATTTTTAAAATAACACATCAAAATAAACTAAATATATTAAAAAAATTAATTTTAATTTTTATAAAATATCATTTTAGCCGCGTTCCCATACCGGGCCCCCCGTCCCAAGGGAAAAAATCAAATATGGTAATCCAATGCATGATTGCCAAATGTGTGTGTTGGCAGTGGAGTCAGCCCATTTGGCCACGTGTTGTAGGCAACAACCATGCATTGGGAGATGTGAAGATAAATGGACAAGCGATTCAAGGTTCGAACTTATCCATGCAAGTGTGTGTGCCACCTTCGCCCTCTTGTGATTCCATCGATTCGGATGAATGTTGGATCACGATACCATCACATCAATACGTGGCAGCCATGCTTCTCATCTCTCAAAGCCACAAATATTATTGAATGTGATAGTTATTGTTAGGATTGTTGACATGTACAATGATTATAGAATTTTTTTTTTTTTTTTTAATTTTTTTAATTTTAAAGTTTTTTTTTGGATTGTTGGCATGTACAATGATTATAGAATATGTGATAGTTATTGTTAGGATTGTTGACATGTACAATGATTATAGAATTTTTTTTTTTTTTTTTTAGAATTCTTGCAATTTAGAGTTGTGCTACAAATAGTTGGACTAACCATTAATAAAAATAATATAATTTATATATTGCCACTATTTATACCATGTTTTGATAACTTTTATCCCAATAATTATATCATGATTTATAAATCTTGTTTTTCATTAAAATATATAAAAAAAGCATAATTTTAAAAAATAAATTAAAAAATAAATGAGTGTGTATAAAAAATTAGAGAGAAAGATAGAAGAGCAATTAAAACAATTTTACTGTTATTGCAATTGCTACAAGTACAATAATAAGAGCGGGAAGTAAGATAGAGTAGATGTGATTCTTTTTTATATATTTTTTTATTTTATTTTTTTAATCTTTAATAATATAAATTTTTTTTATAAATATAAATAATTTATCAAACCATATTAAATATTATAAAATGTATTTAGCCTCTAATTAACAAATTGGTAACCATGTAAATAACCTCCATAGCCAGAAGCCGTACAAAGCAGACTCATAAAAGGACTATCAAGCGCAGGAAACAGCATAACACAGAGCGGAAAAAAATGGCAGCGAAGGCTGTTGTTTGCTATGGTAGCTCAACTTCTAGCACCACACTTCGTCCAGTTCTTTGTCCTCAACAGCTTAACAAGAGGTCTTTCTTCTCTTCTGTTTTTGCCCTCTTGTGACCTGAGCTCTGTTTTTTGCTTCTGTTTTTTATTCTTTTGTTGCCTGTAGGGGGGTTTTTGCAGTGCATTCTCGGAGATGTAGCATCAATATCAATCACAAAAGTTTGAGCTTTCGGTGCGTTTAAGTGTGTAGTCAATTATTGAAAGCTAGAGATAATTTAGTGGTATTGTTTGTACTTATACGTTTTGTTTTTGAAGCCCAAAAACGTCTCTGAGATGGAATTTGGAGGCTACAGGAATTCCAACTTCAGTTCCAGTAAGAGTGGCACATGAACTTCATCAAGCTGGACACAGATATCTGGACGTCAGGTACTGATTCTTGAAAGCAGTTTGGCACAGTTTGTTCCTTTTTATCATTTTTTTCTGATGTTGTCTTTATATATCGAACTTTTATTGTTTTGATCTTGATAATTTTGCAGGACTCCTGATGAGTTTAGTGCTGGACATGCAGCAGGAGCAATTAACATTCCTTATATGTACAGAGTTGGATCAGGCAATCATTTTTCCTCAACTTCATTGCAATTTAATCAGATATATTCACCGAAAGGATTCGAATTTGGAAATTATAAATCCTACTAGGATCTGATTAGAGAGGAATGCATACATTGAATGTACTCTCATCTTAAGGTGGCACTGGAAGTGCCTAGTGTTGCAATTCAAGATAACCTTCACTCGTCCACTTTGTTTTACTTTCTACTCTGGCCACACCTGAACTTGAATCAATGAATAGGTCATTTTGAGAAGTGAGTTTGACTTTAAGTTTTTACCACTTTCGGAAGAACGAAATTGTGTTCGTTGAAGTTTTCAAGCCTGGTGGCCAAGACAGAGAAGCATTTTGGCTTTCAGTGCAAATCCCACTTGTGGATATATAGGAAAAAATTCAGAATCCGAGGCTAAAATAAGAATTAATTTGGTCCCAATTTGCTTAATGGTCCCAATCAAGATTTTTTTTGGAGGATTTTGCACTTTCATTTCCTTACACTTGTGTTTCACCTATTGTCCTTTAGACCTTATTCTGTTTTAATTAATGTTTGTTTCAATGCAGGAATGACCAAGAACCCCAAATTTGTGGAGGAAGTATCGTCACATTTCAGAAAACATGATGAAATTATTGTCGTGAGTTCCTGAATGAAACTCCATCTGCTTCCAATCACCTGTTCTTTTTTCTTTTTTTTTCCTGTGTGTAACTTCTGGTTTCGCAGGGTTGCCAGCTTGGGAAAAGGTCTATGATGGCTGCAACTGATCTTTTAGCAGCTGTAAGCACATCATCCTGTAAATCTTAAATTTGGTTGATTTTCGTGTTCGATGGATAAAAATTGAAATTTGGTAAAGTATCGTAAGTCGAGTTTTCTTGAAGGCACATCATGATTTGTCCTATGGCTTGCATTTCTATTTACTTCCACCTACTATCAGTATAGTTTAAGCAAGGAAATTAGCTTGTCATTTTCAAACCAGCCACAACATAAATCTTGCAGTACTGAGAAATTCAAAGAACAGTTGTTTTTATTCGGATCGCACGCTAGCAAGTAGCAAGCTTTTGATTATTTTCTGATTCAAGATTGGTCTGCATATAGTTAAAACTAGCGCAGATTAGGATCGTAAAAAGGGGTGGATTTCTTGATATTTTGTCTCCTTAATAAGTTCCCTTATTTATGGCTTCCTTGTAGCTACCTTTAGGATTTATGAGATTTAAAGAGTTGTGCTCGGGTTCAATCCAATGCATTAATGCCCATTTTGATTTTCGACTTTGGCTGCAAGCTTACTTTATAGAGCTGTGATTGCACTTGAGACGAAAGCCTATCTTTTAGTGGGAGTCTGAATTTATTTCCATGGCTCCAAGTCTTTTGACCATGCATGGAGCTTGTTAAAACTGATTAGAGCTTAATCCTTTCTGCAGGGTTTTACTGCAGTGACCGACATTGCTGGTGGATTTGCTGCCTGGACACAGAATGGACTTCCAACAGATAATTAACTTCTGTTTACGGGAATTACGTCCATTACCGCAATAAACTTTAAAGATAAGAGATAGGTGATGTGCAGGACGCCACTCGTCAATGTTTTAGTAGCAGCATACAACATTACAAATCCTGCTGTAAAGCTTACTGAAAACGCATGGCAAGTGCTGTGAAAATTTGTCATGAAAAGAACTGTATGAAATGGAACATTTGTGTAATATAAAACATCTTAAAATTGTACAGAAAGTTCTCTACTTGTGGATCAGTTTGTTTATGCAACTTTATTTTCTTTTGATCTAAGGTCAGGTCAAACTGGCTTGCCTTGAAACTTGGCGGCGAATTCCATGATATCATACCTTGTGGATATAGCCACGTAAGCTCGAGCAGGATGTTAGGACATTGCTAATTACTAGGGCATAGTGCTGGCTAGATCATTTCCTGAATTAGGAATAGACTACCCTTGCTACCCGCTGCGGTGTCCGGGTTTTTTTATATAAAAAATTAATTTCGAATAATCTATATCATAAAAAAATTATAAAATTTTTTAAATAAAAAATAAAAAAAAAATTATTAATTTTTTAAACTTCTAATCCTAGTTATTAAATTTAAATTATTTAATTTAAAAAATTTACGAAGTTGAATTCTCAATTAATCAAAGATGAAATAGAAAAAATAATTTTAATTATATAAAAGTATTTTAAAAAATTAAAAATTAAAATTAAAATTGAAAAATAAAATTAATTTTTTATTTGATTGAATGGTAAAATTAAAAAGAAAAAATAATTTAGCAAAAGACCAAAAAAAATCAAAAGAATAAGGATAAAAATTGACATAAAAAATAAAAATAAAGTTTTAATTAAATAATGAAATTAAAAAAATAACTTTTATAAAAAGACTTAAGAAAAAAATAAAAATAAAAATAATAAGGATCAAATTAGAAAATACAATTTGATTAATTTAAATTGAATGATAAAATTGAAAACTAATAAAGTTTTTAAAAAAGCCAATAAAAC